CAGGGAACCGAAACCCTGGCTCTGAGTTTTCTTTAAGCCTAACCTGGGATACATATGCATAATAATCTTTGCTGAAGACTCTTAAACTCTTTTAGTTCCTTTCATTCATCACCAATAGACTCCACAACAGTAAGTACAGAGATGGGATTTAACCACATGTATTTTTCAAGCCAACATAAAGTAATAGTTTATAGGTTATGAATGTTCTTTTTCCATTCTTTGTTATATATGTACCTTGCTGTTTTTCTTAAATTAAAAAATCCTAACAAAATAATGAACAGGAACATTTAAAAATAAATTTCCTCTCAATGCTTATAATCTAGCACCCTCCTACAAGTACTGAAATTTTGGATTTGGAATAAATCTGACCCTATCTGGCTAATCTTTTCAGAGATTTGAGCTGTATTAAGTAAGGTTGAGCCCTGACCTAGATAGCCCAGGCTAGCCTTATCTCGGGAAGCTAACCAGGGTCAGCCCTGGTCAGTATTTGGAAGGGAGACCACCAAGGCATATCAGAGTCATGATGTGGGGGCAGGCAATGGCAAACCATTTCTGAATGTCTCTTGCCTTGAAAACCCCACAGGGTCGCCATAAGTTTACTTTTTTAAAAAAAAGAGGTGCCGGAACTCTCAAGGAAATGAAGTTTTCAATCTGTATACTGAAAACTCACGAACTTTTAAACATTTTAAAAAGAATTTTGTCAAAGAGGTTCTGGGACTCGTTCCAGCGTGTTCCCCCAGGAAAAAAAGCCCTAAGTAAAGCTGAGATTAAGATGAAATGTCTAAAGCCACTAGGCTTTATACTATGTCCTGGAAAGACTTAAGTAACACACCTTGGTCATAAACTGTCAATTTGCAGAGTTCTTTTGGTTTCAGGGTAGTTACACTTATTTATGCTTGCTAAGTATTTGCCCATGCTATTGTATGAGGCCATGCAACTTTATTGGCTTCCCTCTGCCTTTTTTTTTTTTGGACATTTGGAGAAACGGAGGTTCCTAATTTCTGGAATTGTTTACCATCCTGTAAATTAGTCCCATGGAAACTGTGAATCAGCCATCCCTTCTTTCTCTGAATTCCCATGTGGTACTTATAGCATTTCCCCACCCCTACATACAGTTGTTGTGCATGTGTAAAAAGCAGAAACACAGTTATATCTGGCTTCTGGCTTCTGAATCAATTGATGGCCATGCAGGAAAACTGATTTGTAATTACATTTCACCTTTCTGCCACTTCACCATTCACATGTGATTTTGGCCCTCTATGTTCTTAGATCACAGATTCTACCATAAATGGGCTGTTCTTAATGACCCGAAGGACACAAGAGCAGGAACTAAAGGATATGTAAAGTGCAACATTTCTGTAATGGCACGGGGTGATGTAATGAGTTCTGTTCCTACTACCTCCACCAGCCAGCATGAAGATATTGAAAAGTAAGTCTGTGGTGAAGCAACATATGGTGTGTTACTGATGGGAGTGGTTGGGTATTGCACAGCATGGAAGCTGCCTTGTAGTGAATCAGATCTTTGGTCCATCCAAGTCAGTATTGTCTACTCAGATTGGCAGCAGCTCAACAGAATCTCAGGCAGAGGTCTTTCACATCACCCACTGCTAGCTTGTTTAACTGGAGATGCCATGTATTGAACCTGGGACTTCCTGCATGCCAAGCAGATGCTCTACCACTGAGCCATGGCCCTCTCCATTGAACTTTCTCCAAAGCATCTTGTACATTCCAACAAATATAGGCCCTAATCATTGTAGAACTAGTGTGGTATAGTGGTTAAGAGTGGTGGACTCTAATCTGGAGAGCTAGGTTTGATTTACCACTTCTCCACATGACGCCTGTTGGGTGACCTTGGGCCAGTCACAGTTCTCTCAGAACTCTCTCAGCCCCACTTAGCTCACAAGGTGACTGTTGGAGGAAGAGGATGGGAAGGAGATTGTAAGCTGCTATGAGACTCTTTAAAGTAAAGTGGGATATGAAAACCTACTCTGTTAAAAAAAAACCTGCTCTATAATCATTGTCAGAACTACACAGAACCTGTCCTGGTTACATGCATGGACACTGATCTGGGAGAACTGGGTTTGATTCCCTACTCCTCCACTTGCAGCTGCTGGATGACCTTGGGCACACCATAGTTCTGTCAGAGTTGTTCTTGAAAGAGAAGTTCTTGAAACAGTTTTCTCAGCCCCACCTTCCTCACAGGCTGTCTGTTGTGGGGAGGGGAAGAGAAAGGTGTTTCTAAGCCGCTCTGAGGGTCCGAGTGAAGGGTGGGGTATAAATCCAATCTCTTCCTCTTCTCTCTTCTTAATGCCATCCAATTTCCCAGTGGACACTCTGACTCTTTCTCCTTTCTCCCGTGTCAGGTGTATTCACCCCTCCCTCTCAATTTTGGAGTTAACTGGGTTTAGGGCTGTGCTTCCATGAGTGCTTCTGCTAATCTCAGCGAGCACCAAACCATGGTTTAAATGTCAGTTTGCAAACTGTGGCTTGGCTAACTATGGTCAGCAAAAATCCCTCTGCAGATGGTAATGGTAACAAAGCTCCAGCACAGAAAGGGAGGCGGAAATGCATGCATATGCATAAAAATGGAAGGAAATGGAGGAGGGAGCAAACAGAAACATAAGAGGTTTTATTGTCATTTTAATCATGATTAGGAGCTTGTGCAGCATTAGATTTGCACTGAGTCTTTTCTCCCCAAGACTTCAGGTTGGATCCAGAGGTAAGTTGTGGGGGGCGTGATTTTCTCCAATTCCTCCTTCTCACTGTAGACTCCTAGTTTACCCTTGTTCTTATTTGGTATCACTCACTCACTCACTCACTCACTTGCACACACTGTCCTTCAGTTTTGGTTTCTTCAGTTTTGAGAACTCGGTTATCTTCCTTTCAGGAACTTGCTGCTGCCTAAAAGAATCCCAGCTGAGCGGCCTTGGGCCAAAGTTTGCATCAAAATTTACAGGGCAGATGGATTACCCAGCATGAGTGCAGGAATCATGGGTGGTTTTTCAAAGATTATGAGTGAGAAGAAAGTCTTCATTGATCCGTATGTGCAAGTTACATTTTCTGGACAACAGGTAAGCTAAAGGCTGGCCGCTTAAAATGTGTATTCCCTTAGAACAAATCTTTGTTTCTTTATGGAACTTGAGCTACTGTCTTTTCTGCATATATGAACATAAGAGGGGCATCTACAGAGGACTTTGGAAAACAGCATAACTAATTAGGGTGATTCTACATGGTGGTTTGGAAGAGGGATCAAATAGCTTCCAATGAATCCCAGTTCTTGTGGTACATGAGTGCATGTGCTTGTACTGTTCCCATCTGTACTACAAGGAGCAATTAATATGAGTCCAATGCAGGATTTGAAATGCAAGTCATGAGCTGCTTTGTAAGCCCAACTTAGTGTACACACACTGAACTGAGTGTTCAGTGAGTTGCTGTCTGAGTGTGCTCTTAGATATTGAGATAAATGATTGGTACCTATGAGTAGCTAATAAAACTTCTTGCAATCTGACCTTAAGTAGATTCCTTCTTGAGAAAATGCATTATTGTTAATAATGTACAATGGCTTTGCAGTCCTTGGTCCTTCAACTACCTCCTGAAGATCAACAATGGGGGGTGGGCAGATGCATAATTGTTCCATAATTGTTGGGCTGCCACAGAAAAGTCAGGAGGGCATCTCTCTGCGATCTTAATTCCCTTGCAGGAACCTATCGGAGAAGATGGTCCTTCGGATACCCTGCTCCAAAGCCATGTAGGGCTTGTAGCCACAGCATTCTGCACTAGCTGCAGCTTCAGAACATACTTCAAGGGTAGCCTCACATAGAGAACATTGCAATAGTCCAGTCTAGATGTAATGGATGTAGCTGACACACCAGCTGAAGCTGGGCAAACTCACTCCAAGCCACAGCAGCCACCTGGTTTTCTAAGGTGACTGCTCTTTCAAGCAGCCCTCCCAAACTGTGAACCTGGCTTTTCAAGGGGCATAAAACCCCATCCAAGACAGGGGAGATCTGAAGTCCCTGGTCTGCCTTTCTACTGACCCAGAGAACCTCTGTCTTGCTCTTGCCAGGATTAAGTTTCATCTTGTTCACCCTCATCCAGCCCATCCAACCCATTTAATCTTGCAGAGATATCATCATTTAGTACAGAGGAAATTAGGGGCTCAGTCAGCCATACAACGCTAATCACAGAATATGGTAAATGTGAATATTCTATATGAATTTTGACCTTCAGATTTCTCACACCTCTACTACTGATTTCAAACTAGTAAGACACCATTGACTTATATTAGTCATTTCTTCTTGTGGTTTAGGGGGAAACTTCAGTTGAAAGCAACACTACAGAACCATTATGGAATGAACAGATCAGTTTCATTGAGATGTTTCCTCCTCTTGTTCGAAAAATCAAAGTCCAAGTATTGGATGATGCAAACATTGGGGACGTTGCCCTTGCTACACATTTCATTGATCTGAAGCAGATATCTGACCCTGGGAGAAATGGTGAGTCCCTCAAAGCTTCAAGCACTGATGTGCAATCAAATAGTTCTGTTCTGTTGCCTATTTGTTTGTCTTTGACAGCTGACTATACATCAGTTGGTGCATGTTTGTCCGACCACCTCTGTGTAATAAGGAACAGCAAAAACTGACACATCTGTACTTAGGGGCACCGACTTTGAGGATATGTCCACAGAATTTCTGTTGAGAGAATTTCTTTGTGGCTGATATGTTTATATTTATGCAGCTTGACAATGGCTCAATCCAGACATAATGTGAGACCATTGCTTATTTCATCTATGGTTAGTTTGTGAAACCGGGATTCAGCTCACAGGAAATCACTCATATCCTGGTTAGCTTTGAAAAATTGCCTTAGCCTTGAAAAATTGCCTTCTCCCTGTAGCCTAAAAAGTTGTTGCCAGACACAAAATTGTTGCCAGACCCAGAGCCAGTTTGCTGTAGTGGTTAAGAGTATGGACTCTAATATGGGAGAACCAGGTTTGGTTCCCTACTCCCCCACATGCAGCTGCTGGTGTGACCTTGGGTCAGTCATAAGTTCTTTCAGAGCTGTTCTCTCAAGGACAGTTCTCTCAGAGCTCTCTCAGACCCACCTACCTCACAAGTTGTCTGTTGTGGGGAGGGGAAGGGACCGGGATTGAAAGCCACTCTGAGACTCCTTCAGGTAGTGAAGGGCAGGGTATAAATCCAATCTCTTCTTCTTCTCTTCAATGCAAGGTTCAGCCAGAAAGTTTGCATTCCAACATAAGAACATAAGAGACGCCAATGTTGGATCAGGCCAAAGGCCCATCCAGTCCAACACTCTGAATCACCCATCCAACCCATTTAATCTTGCAGAGATATCATCATTTAGTACAGAGGAAATTATGGGCCCAGTCAGCCATACAACGCTAATCACAGAATATGGTAAATGTGAATATTCTATATGAATTTTGACCTTCAGATTTCTCACACCTCTACTACTGATTTCAAACTAGTAAGACACCATTGACTTATATTAGTCATTTCTTCTTGTGGTTTAGGGGGAAACTTCAGTTGAAAGCAACACTACAGAACCATTATGGAATGAACAGATCAGTTTCATTGAGATGTTTCCTCCTCTTGTTCGAAAAATCAAAGTCCAAGTATTGGATGATGCAAACATTGGGGACGTTGCCCTTGCTACACATTTCATTGATCTGAAGCAGATATCTGACCCTGGGAGAAACGGTGAGTCCCTCGAAGCTTCAAGCACTGATGTTGCCTATTTGTTTGTCTTTGACAGCTGACTATACAACAGTTGGTGCATGTTTGTCCACCTCTGTGTAATAAGGAACAGCAAAAAATGACACATCTGTACTTAGGGGCACCGACTCTGAGGATATGTACACAGAATTTCTGTTGAGAGAATTTCTGTGTGGCTGATATGTTTATATTTATGCAGCTTGACAATGGCTCAATCCAGACATAATGTGAGACCATTGCTTATTTCATCTATGGTTAGTTTGTGAAACCGGGATTCAGCTCACAGGAAATCACTCATATCCTGGTTAGCTTTGAAAAATTGCCTTAGCCTTGAAAAATTGCCTTCTCCCTGTAGCCTAAAAAGTTGTTGCCAGACACAAAATTGTTGCCAGACCCAGAGCCAGTTTGCTGTAGTGGTTAAGAGTATGGACTCTAATATGGGAGAACCAGGTTTGGTTCCCTACTCCCCCACATGCAGCTGCTGGTGTGACCTTGGGTCAGTCATAAGTTCTTTCAGAGCTGTTCTCTCAAGGACAGTTCTCTCAGAGCTCTCTCAGACCCACCTACCTCACAAGGTGCCTGTTGTGGGGAGGGGAAGGGACCGGGATTGTAAGCCACTCTGAGACTCCTTCAGGTAGTGAAGGGCAGGGTATAAACCCAGCCTCTTCTTCTCTTCAATGCAAGGTTCAGCCAGAAAGATTGCATTCCAACATTAAGGAAAACCATAGTTAAGGTTAACCGTGGTTAACAAATCAACTTCAGATCCTGTATTTATGGAACCTAAGTACCCACAGGTAATGGAGTGGCCTACAGTCAGACAATCACATTAACCATAGTTAGTTTAATTAACCATGGTTTTGCACAATGTCTGAACTGAGCCAATATTTTTGCAGCGCAATCCTTAGCAGATCTATTCTGAATCCTACTGAAGTCTACTCAGTGGGGTTTACTCCCAGGAAAGCGTTCTTAGGATTGCCCTGTTAGGCTACCAAGGAATCCTGTCCTGCTGATGCATTGGCTGGAGGGTACAAAGCTGTAACAAACAAGGCTGTAAATTCTAACTTGAAAGCCACAAATTGAAAAGTATGTCAATTTTCACAGGTTTCAATCCCACTTTTGGTCCCGCTTGGGTGAACTTGTATGGCTCACCTCAAAACTCAGCTCTGCGAGATGTCCACAAGGATCTCAATGAAGGTTTGGGAGAAGGCATATTCTACCGTGGGCGCCTTCTCATGGCCATTTCTGTAGAGATCTTCAGTACTATCCAAGCAGCAGAAAAAAAGCCCGTAGAGGTTCTTAAAGGTGCTCTAAGCAAGCTCAAATTGAAGAAGAAGAGTAAGAAGGCCAAGGAGAAAACCAGAGTCTCTTTCAAAGAGCAACAGCAAAGCCAGGCTGAAGCTGGTATCCCCGAGGAGGCAGAGCAGCCGAGTGAGGTGACTGTGGAGGTTGAGGAGCTTCATCCTCTCCCAGAGGTGAGTCTCATCTTGAAATTTATTAACAGAGTTGTTGCATATCAGGACCAGCCCAACCATATAGGCAAACTAGGTGATCACCTAGGGCATCAAGCTTTAGGAGGTGCCAAATTAGGTAGAAGTGAATTTCTTTTCTCTATTAAAATATTTATGTTATCTCACATTTTTCTCTGTATTGAATGTTGGGGGGACACATGCCAAAGTCACAGTTTGCCTAGGGCACCAAAACCCTGATGCTGGTCCTGTTACATATCTGCACCAAACATGGAGTAGAAAACAAGATACAATTGGTGCAGTATCAAACAACACTATTAACATCTTTTTTCATGCTCATTAAATTTATTTCATGCTTATTATAATCATATTGTCTACTTATTTTTATAGTCCGAAGAATAAAGAATAGCTATGTATGAATGTACTTATCCTTAAACATCAGCACTAGAATCCAGTGAAGGGAATTTGGTGTTGGAAAGAGTTGCACATACAACCATAATTTTGCTTGCTTTATGGTCACAATACTTACTACTCCCCAAAAAGCAAGGCTGTTTGTTTTTTTTAAAAACCTGAACAGTGGCTTGGCCCTTTGGCAGTTGGAATGGTTGCAGAAAAAAATAAAAGCAGATTTCTTGGTGTATTTGAGGACCAAGTAGGTAAATTCCAGAATAGGGTTGAAGATTACAGTAAATGAACAATATAGATTTAGATTTATAATCTAATCTGGACACATTTTAGAATTTACCTTTAATTATAATGCAGAACATCTAGATATAGGTATATGGTGATAAAAACTGATTAATATACATGTAGGAGATATACAATATACAATTAGAAAGTATATGTAACCCCCAACCTGTATGTTTTTTAATGTTTGTTTGTTTTTGTTAAAAATAAAAAAATGTTTGAAATTCAGAATAGGGGAAAGGAAGTAGGTTGATATCTAGTTGCAAAAGTATAAATGTGGTTTCCTGTTTGCTGATTGGGTACTGAATATTTTTTCTAATATCCTGAAGCTGGGGTCATCTTTTTAGTAGTTCAGAGTTTAGTCTTACTAAGTTGTGATAAACTTAGGTACTTGAGTTTAAGACATTTATGTACAGTGCAATCAGCCTTCTAAGTCCACTGATGTCATACAAGTTACACCCATAGAAGGGTGTAAACTTAGGGTTGCATGGATCGCCTCATCAAATTAATTGTATCTGCTATGTCTTTGCATCTTTTGCTTTGAGGAGCAGCCTCAAAAGCATGCTGTTTAAAACAGCTGTAGCTTGCTCAGTATAGTATATCATAATTTTGGATGCCTGATTATTTGATTAATATCTATGATGGAGCATGCCAATTTTGGCATCAGAGCTGGAGGGATATTATTTAGCAGATAACTGTCCATTCTCTTCATCAGGCACTGGTGAGGCAGGGCAACATCTTCCTATGAAAGGAAAGTAAGAGCTTACATCAGTACTAGGGATGTGCATTCGGTTCGTCCAAACTGAATGCACCCCCGAAAATGGCCCATTCGAACCCCTTTCGGGCTGCTGCAGGCCGATTCAGATTATCTGATCTGAATAGGCTTGCCACCGAATTGCCACCGAATTTTGGCGGCAATTCGGCCCCATTATATCCTATGGAGATGAGCACCGCAACCCTAGAGTTGGATTTGATCGGCTTTCGAGCAAGGGAACCTTTACCTTTATATCCTATGGGCCATTGAAGTCAAGGCGAAAACATAGGGTATATTCTGGGGGCTGGAGGGGAGGCGGTTTGAGGGAGAGGCTTCAATCTCACAGGGTAGCTGCTGGAGCCTCTCCCCAAGATACCAACCAAGTTTGAAGAATATTGGACCAGGGGGTCCAATTCTACAGGCCCCCAAACAGGTTGCCCCTATCCCCTCCATTGTTCTCTGTGGGAAAAAGTTACTTTTCCCCAAGTTTTCCCCACCAAACTTGGTTGGTATCTTGGGGAGAGGCTCCAGCAGCTACCCCATGAGTTTGGAGTCTCTCCCTCAAGCCCCCTCCCCTCCAGCCCCCAAAATATACCCTATGTTTTTGCCATTGACTTCAATGGCCCATAGGATATAATGGGGCTGAAATTGACGTTCATCTAGCGGAAAGACTCCTGAATCTGCTGGTACCGATGAAACTGACATGTGGGAGTCTTACTGCTAGCCGAAATTGATTCTTCCCGATTCCACCAAATCCGAATGGGCCGAATTTTTTTTTTTGCACACCCCTAAGTACTTTAACAGAACATGTTCAGTATTTTACAGTACTACACATAGCTTGTAAAGGAAAGATTAAGTAGGTGGAGACGATGGTGAGGTGGGTGGGGACAAGATTATCTGGGTGGGGACAAAGATCTCTGCCACAGCCCTATCGCTCTGAAAAGAATAAATGGAACCAATAAAGCACACACCCATGTGCCATGTGCTATTTGTTTCCCTTGCTGGCATGACTGCAGAGCTAGTAATATCACACAGAATACATAAGTGCAGTAGACCAACAGATTTAAAGACAATCAGCAAGAAGTCTTGTGCAAGTAAAAGAAATGTGTTTGGTTTAATCTATAAGTTTTTTCTAGGCTCGGGAAAAATATTTTAGACAAATGATGTCCATTCAAACAGATTCCATTCTTACCATGTGTAGCTTCCTGCCCAAACACAGTGGTACCATGAAGAGAGGATGAAAATATTTCTTTCCCCTGGTGCACAGATTATTATTTATGTTAAGAAATGAACTCTTTGGGAGATGTAAACAAATGTAATAAAACTGATTTTTAAATGAAATCAGTCATGGTAATGGAGTGGCAGGAAGATATGGTGTTCAACCCTTTTACCACTTGTCATTTTTCTGCTTAAAACCCATGTTTTCCCTCTCTGGGGCTAAGAAACTTAAATCAGCACTTCTTGCCGTAGTCCCCCTTATTTGCATTTCTATGTATTTGTTCCTAAAAGTACTATAGGTCATCATATGGAGGCCCCAGTTCAGTAGAATTTTTTGACTGCCACTATGTGGGAAGCAGTGTTGCCTCTAAGCTGAGTTCGTTTGAGCTAGCTCACAGTTTTTTAGCCTCCAGCTCACACATTTTTGTCTTAGCTCAGGAATGATGGTTCCAGAGCAAACTAATTTGTGCAGTAGCAAAATCGCTCATCCTTTAATGCCAGTAGCTCACAAAGTAGAATTTTTGCTCACAAGACTCCACAGCTTAGATGAAGCATTGCTGGGAAGTGACCTCACTTAACATTCTTCTGCATTCAAAATGTGCTGTTTCCCCCCACTCTGGAGGACAGCGCAACTGTTCGGTTTGAATTTAATGAGAGCACCAAGGTGTGTGTGTGTGTGTGTGTGTGTATATGTGTGTGTGTGCAAAATATGGAAAATGTAAGTGATAGATTTAAACATTACATTTACATGGAGTAAAATGTGATGCATATACATACATTTAGCACAACAGAGTATGTAACAGAGAATAATATATACTGTAGGACATGTGAACAACATGTGACAGGAATCCAGTATTGAGTCCTGTTTTAAAATGTCTTCATCAGAAGCATCTAAGCCGCCCTGAGCTACCGGATAGGGCAGGGTACAAATCCCAAAATAAATAAATAAATAAATAAAACTGAAGTGAGATGAAATTTCTGTGTCTAGATCTTCCATGAAAACAGAAAGTATCCACTGTTCATTATATCACAGCTTATCTACCTGAAGGTTTCTGCTAGAGACAGCTGTAATAAAACATAATGTGCTTAAAACACCTATTATCATAGAATAGTTGGTCCTCGATAAATTCTATTCTACTTTTTATTGTGTGGGAATATATCTTTTTAAAAAAACTGATTTTCAAACGATAAATTATAATTATTTTATAATCAGCACAGCTGCTGAATATTCCCGTTCACTCCAACAAAACATAAACACTGTGTCAGTTATGTGCCATCAAGTCATTTCCGACTTCTGGCGACCTTATAAATTAATGACCTCCAAAACAGACTATCACTGGCAGCCTTTCTTGAAAGCACTAGAAGAAAAATAGAGAATGAGTTAACACGACCGAAAGACTAAGTTTGCGAAGGTTTATACCTACAATTAAAAAATATTACAAAGACTGAAATATTGACCCGGATCATCCTTAGTGCAAGTACAGAGAACACAACAGAATAGTTTGTCTTGCAGGTGCTAGGGCTGCCATCTCTGGGTTGGGAAATACCTGGAGATTTTAGGGGTGGAGCCTGGGGAGGAGAGGGACCTCAACAGGGTATAAATGCCATATAGTCCACCCTACAAAGTAGTCATTTACTCCAGAGACACTGATCTTCTCTGGAGATCCATTGTAATTGTGGGAGAGCTCCAGGTGCCATCTGAAGCTTGCCCCCCCCCCAAAGGCTGCTTTCCTATTAGCAGAGACAAGGGTCATGAAATGCAGTACTTTGTGTTTATAAAACAGACACAAATATACTGTTATGTTTTGTTAAAGCATCAGATAAAGTGGCTCCCTCCAGCATTCATATCCCTCCCCAAGGATATCTTTGCTACTCTGCATTGAACTGAGGAATTCAGTGGCAATTCAGATATTAAGGTGATTGAGTAAATGTATTACAGCTGCCTGCCAGTGTTTGTCTTGGGTGAAGCATTCACAGTTCAGTATTGTGAATTTTTGCATGTGGGGAAATTGTGTGGACAATTTTATGGCAAAATTAGGCCATACTGAACCTTTCTTCCTTTTTCAGAATGCACTGGGAGTTAAAGAAGAATTCCTCCTTTTTGCCTCTTTCTTTGAGGTGACTATGATGGATCCATCAATAGGTACCAAGCCTGTGAAATTTGAGATCTCTATAGGTAACTATGTTCTCTGAACTTAAAACTTCTCGACCCCAGCCAGACATTACCAGAAATAACGAACGATTACACGTGAACAGAGACTTTTATTTGGATGGCCCTGAGAGTTTTAACACAGTATAGATCTTAATGAGGGCTGCCAACACGAGGCTGGCAACCTACAGGAGATTCACCTCATGAAGTGCGGCCTCTCTGGTGCAATAATGACATAACTGGTGATGTTCTGGCATTAGTCAAAACTCTATGGTTAACTAATTGCTAGAATGTCACCAGCAATGCACTGATATCACTTCTGGTTGTGCCAGATGTGCAAGTAGCACATTGGGATGCTGGTGTCCCCCCATTTTGCCTCTGTTTTCTCTTGCCACCCAGCTGAACGGCAGTAAGAAGGGCCCTCTGGGGGCATATGGCAACCCTAATCTTAGAGTTGTGTTTTTTCTTAATCTGTCTCACCTTTTTTGCTTGTCCTGCTTCTGAGACTGCAACTGCTTAGCATCTCCTAGACAGAGCCCTGAGTAAGCAATCTAATGCCCTCTACGGCTGAGTATCTGAATTGTGGGTTTAAACTACCCTCAGTATTACATGAGGATTCACCTGTGATAGCTTGAGAAAAGCCCACATAGTCTCCCTCAGCATTTGTTAGTTTCCATCAACATGGTTGTTTTTTGGCAGCTGACTAAATGGAAGCCGTGCTGGTGCTGACTATCTATGTATACAAGAAAGACAATAGCTCGGGTGGGGGGGGATTTGCTGTGTATATTTTGACCATAGACTTTATTAGAGCATGAAGACTACAAACAGAAACTGCTGATGCTTTAAAGAGGTCGAGGCTGCAGGGATGGTCTCGGAAGGCTGTTGTATGGTGATTGTACAAAAAAACCCACATTATGGCACAGCTATAAATAGTAACTGGCCATGGTGACCATGAGTAACCATCTTCATCTTCAAGGAAACTATGGCAAAGCTGAAGAAGTTTTGGCTAAAACTTCTAAGAAGGGTGAGAAGGAAGAAAGGAGTGAAGACAAGCAGCCTTTGCTTGAACCCAGTTCTGAGGATGAGCTGGATGTTGAAGTCATATCCCCAAGCACAACTTTGGTCCAGAAATCTGTGACTGCAAACCAAAGGCCCGAGCCCACAGAATATGACAGGTAACTCATTTTCTTTGCAGTCTCACTAGTTCTTGTCTCTTCACATTTCCATTTATTAATTCATTCAGCAGTCGTTCATGTCATTCATTAGGTCTAAGTCATAGAAACACAGATCTGGAAGGAAAGGATCATCTAGCCTCACTCCCCTGCACTAAGAAAGCAAATCCTATGCCTCAGGCACCCCCAATGTATGTCTAATATGTGTATTATAAACTCTTACTCAGGGACATACTTCTTTCCTGACAGACTGTATTCCAAATACATCTGTAGTAATTTAGTAAAGGTACTGTTCTGCATTATTTTGCAGCTGTTTTGTTCTTCCCCATTAGCAGCAGGATCCAGTACTATACATGTATAACCTGAGACAGAAAAGCAGCATCTGTTTCAGGGCGAACAGATGGATGTTGCTTTAGTATGCTTGCCGGCTGCTAATAATGTTGGGGCCAAGAAAGCCAGAGTCAAGACTTACCATATAGAATCACAGGGGCCATACAGGCCATCTAATCCAACCCCCCCTTCACCCCCGCTCAATGCAGGATCAGCCTAGAGCATCCCTGACAAGTGTTTGTCCAGCCACTGCTTAAAGACTGCCAGTTAGGAGGAGCTCACTACCTCTCTGGACAGCTGATTCCACTGTTGAACAACTCTTACTGTAAAAAAGTTTTTCCTAATATCCAGCTGTTACCTTCCCACCCTTAATTTAAATCCATTAAACCCATATCTTTGCTTAAGGCCTTAAACTATAGAATTTCTTTCCCCTGAAGGCAAATATCCAGTGCCATCTACTACATGTAATAATAATTCAATAGCTCTTATTTCTGATTAACCGAAAACCAATTTAAGTAGAATAGCCTTGAAAGATCCTCTTCATCATGACACGTGAAGTGCAGTCCTAAGCAGTCCTTTCTAAGTGCATGTGTTTAGAGAGTGTAACTCAGTTTATGATTGCAGTAATTGGCTAGCATTCAGCAGTGCAAATCCCGAGAGTCCAAGTCTCCAATTTATGCATCTTTCCTCTGGAAACATGTCAATTACAAATTCGGATATGCAGGGCCTTTTCTGCTCAGATGAGGGATGCTGCTGTTAATCTTCTTCTCACAGTTGACCTTCACCAGACTCAACCGTCTTTTGCTCAGTTGCCTTCATTGCATCTGCTGGGGGAGTGAGCTCATACCTAGTTCTAGTGTCCAGTTCCCTTAGTAGCTGGATACAGGGCCCTTCCCTCAGTCTTATCCCCCTAATTCAAACCCGGGGAGAGGGCTGCCTTCAAGTCCATGGGGCATATTCAGAACTTTCTATACTTACGTACTATGTTTTACAAAAACAAGCAAATCCAGTACTTATTCTAGCCTTCATGATGATATATCAGTGTAACTATCATGCAGAGGGCTGGTTATCAGCTGCTTGTTCAAGTTGTAAATCTTCACCGCCTGCTGCTCTTAGCTCTTACAGCTGCCTGCCCATGGTGCACAATAAGCCTTGTGTGTATGTCTGGAGCTACTGGGAAGACTATACCTGGAGACTCTGCAATTCCAACTGGATTGTCAAAATAGCAGAGCGTTTGGTAAAGTATTGTTCTGCCTGTCAACCCTCTGTCAAGCCCCTGCTGCTTTGTGTCACATACTTGCCTTTACTGGAGCATGGAGGAAATTATTTGGGCAGAGCGGGAGCCTGATTGGACTTAAGTTCTGAGTGCTTTCTGCCCTGTTCTTGACAAAGGCTGAGGGCACTCAATACTTCACAGGAAGGAGAAACTCTTTGCTTCATTCTTTACAAAAAATCATATTATTGCTGCTTATATGTGGGTGATTATATTTTGGAGCAAGGGTGCATAATATTAGCTATGCTAAATGCTTCAGGCACTTCATAGACAGTTTCTTCTGTCATCTGGCACTGATCTCAAGGCAGTGTTTGTTACAACAGGAACATGGGCTGGAAGATGTGGAGAAACTCTTAAGGAGACCCAAGTCCAAAGCAGATGAGAGGCTTCGGCAGGTCCTAGAGGAGTTTGTGGCTGGATGTAGGTTAGTACTCCTGCTTTTGTTCATAAAAACCATACAGTTGACTCACATTGCCTTTCCTACTCCTTCTATCTTAATCACATCCTTTGTCAAAACTATTGAATTAAACATCCTTGAATCCAGCATCCTCAGAGCCTAGAAGATAATCACACCTGGATCCTGATGTTATGAGACTCATCTCTAATTAGAGAGTTCACTGTAAGCCAACTAATTAATAGGAAGCTCTGTGAAAATGTTGGGTGTTCATTAGGAACTCTTGGTTGTGTCGTGCTTGTTTTTCCAGACAGATCTAGCTAGGTTTTTTTTGGAGGGGGGGGGGCAGCGACCCCACAGGGTTTTCAAGGCAAGACACTCTTGGAGGTGGGTTGCCATTGCATGCCTCTGTGGTACGACCCTGGTATTCCTTGGTGGTTTCCCATCCAAATACTGACCCCTGCTTCCAAGATCTTCCAAGATCTGACTAGATCAGGCTAGCCGGGTCAGGGCTTAGCTAGTATGTTTTGAACAATAAGTAGCAGAACACAGGAAGAGTGCATCTCTTTAAATTTCTCTAAAGGGAAGGATTTGGCTGCCAATCACCATGATTTCATTCAGAACAAAAAGCTATACTGAGGTACCCCCCTGGGCCCACTATGAAGCAAAATACAGGAGAGATTTTGATACAAAGAAATGGTGAGCTCATTTACTCCTTATATTTGTTTGCTATCTACACAGCAAGGACCTCTGGGCAAAATACATGGTGACTATTTCTTTCCCCCTGCCTGCAGACACTCCTATAAGGTAGATTAGGCTGGGAGATAGCAAGTAGTCCAGTACACACAGTGAAGTTCACAACCAAACAAAGATTTGAACCCATTTCAGCAGCCTAAAATCAACACTCTGGCTATGTTGCACTGGCTTCTACAAGAATAAGGCAAATGTGAAAGGTCAGTGATGTCTGTACTGTATTTGTTAGACAGCTATTTCTTATTAACGAGGTGGAAGAAAAGTTTAAATGCAGGGTGGGTTTTTTTAGTATCCTGTGATAATGATGCATCCTTGACATCTGTTCTTTTATTCTGTGTGATGTGTGGCTGCAGTCAGAAAGCCAGAACTCACAGTCTATCTAATTTCAGGCAGTATTCACTTAATGCAGACAAAAAGCCAATGGCCCGTCCAAATAACCTTGATCGATGTCGGATGAAATCAGTCCCACAAAACATTGTGAGTCATGTGAACAGTCTGTGTTTGTGGATGTGTTGTACCTATCTAGATGTGTTGTACCTGTCTAGGCATGGGTGCACTTTTAAGGAAACCTTTAATAAAAGCCCTTTCACAACCTGGAAGAGCTCTGCTGGATGCCATTCTGCAGATGCTATGGTGGCAGAAAGTGAACTCACTTTTTTGTTGCCATCACCCCCACAGAGTAGACAGAGCACAGACTTGTGTTCAGTCACATTCGCTTTGAGTTTTTCTCCCCTTGATCTGTCTCTGTTAACCGTCATCTATGGATAGGCTTTTGCCTTTTAAAACTTTTCCTTGCTATGTTTTATCTTAACTATTCCACCTCTCTTGGTTTTGTTCCCTTGGTCACTGATCTGAACTTACTTCCCAAACACACAACTCAGTACCAGCTCAGTCCACACTGCCATCTGAAGTCAGATGCTTCCCTGTTGCTGCCGCCTCTGCTTCTGCCTGGAAGCTGGTGCAGCAAGCCCTTCTCAAACTCTCTACCAGCCCTCTTTAAAAACAGTACAGCAAACAGTAGATCTGTTACAGGGCTTCCCAAACTCTTGTAAGTTTCCTTCCACTCTTGAGAATTTGCTGCCATCTTTGTTTGTCTGTTTTCAGAGTAACCAAAAATGGTAGCTGAATTCTTGAGAGAGTTGGGAAGTCCTATTGGGAGAGTGAGGAGGCAAGGGAGGATTAGCTGCTCTGGCTCCAGGACAAAGGTGGGGGCGGTGGCAGTGAGGATGGGGGGGGGATAGAGATGGCTGCAAAAGGGGTTGAGACGGGAGGCTGGTGATACGTGGGTGGGTGCTGTCCCCTCCAAGTTGGCCACCTGTGATAACCATCTCAGTTGGCCTCATGGTATAGCAAGCTCTGACCCCAACTCAGACACTGACTGAAAGATTTCCAAAATTAGTGTAATTCTTTTCATGCCTATAGAACACAAATTCTGCTGAAATCGGTTAGAATTTATGATATATTTTGATGAGCCATATGTGATGCCGACAGTTACTAGGATGTGCAGCTGATCTATTATAGGAGATGCACAGAGTGGAAAGAAAAACAAAAAGGTGACTGTATACATATGAAATAAAACAGAAGTCCACTGGCACCTTAGAGGCCAACATTTATTCCAATATGAGTATTCAGGACTCAGAGCTTATCTCTTCAAATGCTTTGACTCACAAAAGCTCATGCTGGAATAAGTGTTGTTAGTCTTGTAAGGTGTCACTGGACTTCTGTTTTATTTTGCCACCCAAGACTAATACAGCTGTATGTGATCCTCTGTATTGCTGAATATATGGTTTGAAGTTGTGTTTTTTTCTGTTTAGATACTGTATGCGAAGAGGGGGCTCCGCATACGGAGGCGACTGACTCGTACCAATGTCAGGGAGAAAGTAAATGAGGCAAAGACAATCCTGTCAAAGCTTCGCTTCCTGGCTAAAGAGGTACTTATGACAAGCATAGGGCCTGGTTTGGCAATTCATATCATATGGGAATGCATGGCAGGGCAACTGGTAAAAGAAACATCACATTGTAGAGCATAAGATTATGTGCTCTTTTGCATTCTCATATTCCTTACTTGTGTGCCCCTATTGCTTTGGTGTGTGTGTGTGTTCTTTTCTGCATGTTGCTCCTTCTAGTGGTTGATTCGATATTATATCACTGTATGTCCGGCATAAAAACCTGCAGTGCAGTGATATAATACAGTGATGTAATATCAAATCAGGGCCATGGTGGCTCAGAGGTTAAGACGCTGAGCTGCAGACCAGAAGGTCGGTAGCTCGGCAGTTTGAGATCCGAGTGCCGTGTGACAGATTGAGCTCTCATCTCTGGCCCCAGCTCCTGCCAACCTAGCAGTTCAAAAGCAAGAAATTGCAAGTAGATAAATAGGTACCGCTTCGGTGAGAAGGTAATGGCATTCCATGTGCCTCAGTGTTTAGTCGTACTGGCCACATGACCACGGAAAAGTCTTCGGACAGCGCTGGCTCTTTGGCTTGAGCACTGCCCCCTAGAGTCGGATTCGACTACCTTTCGAGCAAGGGAAACCTTTAGCTTTACTAATATCAAATCAACCACTAGTGGAACATCTTAACACTAGTGGAACATGTGGAACAGGTCCCCCCCCTCCCCAAGCAAGAGGAACACACAAGCGAGGAAAACGAGAATGCAGAATAATCTGTTAGTTCCCATTGAGCAATATTAGTGTTCATTTAGAAAGGTCCTTATGGTGGTAGAGAAAAATGTGAAAACATTTAATCAGTTTCAACTGATGCTTAAATTGGAGGGGATCTGGATGGTGCTTGAGATGCAGGAGTTGAGATGATTGAAAGTGTGGTGCCTTGTCCTTGTCCCAACATTTGTTGCCGACTAATGTTCCATGATTTCCATCCTTCTTCCCATCTGTTATCCCAGTCCTTGACAAAAAGTTACAACATTTTAAACTCCCATATCCTCATTTCCCACAAATATACAAACATAGATACTTTTTGCTGGTTTCAGTAATTCAACACACTCTGATTTTTGGCTTTCTTTCTCAACTGTGGTCTTAGGTGTTTTTGGTTTTTTTCCAGCCTCAGTGTTCTATCCCAGATATCTTGATCTGGATGTTTAGCAACAACAAGCGGGTAGCATACGCAAGAATCCCTGCCCAGAACGTCTTGTACTCGGTGGTAGAAGAGGAGAAAGGCAAGGACTGTGCCAAGATCCAAACTGTCTTTTTAAAGGTTCTCACTCTCTTTTGCTAAGTATTTGAAGCTATACCTCTCTTCCCCCCCCCCAAGCTCAGATATAATGTGAAATGCGTGGTTTATTTTAACTATGGTTAGTTTAAGAAACTCGGAATTGGCTTGCAGAATCCTGGTTTGCTTTCACAAATACTGGTTTTATCACTGTTTCCCCTGCATTGTAGTGAGGGTGGCTTAAGCCAAGATTAAGTCAGGAGGTCCATGTTCCTGTGTCACATGAAACTATAATTAAGTCCAACTGTAGTTAAGAAACCAACTTCAGATCATGGTTTCAGATCCTTGTATGATGTAGCCTAACACAACATGATTGGTGGAGTGGCCTGCATTTGGACAAGCATGTGAATGGTAAATAGTTTAATTAATCATGGTATCATGTGACATCAGAACTGAATTGATCGGCAGAAGCAGAGTAATGAATTTCTGTCTTAGCATTAGTACAATTATACTCACTACATTTAAGGATGTTTTGCTGGCGACTATCAAGATAATTCATATCATAGTATTCCCCGTTACTATGTATGGATGTGAAAGTTGGACAATGAAGAAAGCTAACAGGAGGAAAGGTTTCATTTTAAATGTGGGTTGGGGGGAGAGTTTTATGGTTCATGTGGACCACCAAAAAGACAAATCAGTGGGTTCCAGATAAAATCAAGCCTGAACTCCCCCTAGAAGCTAAACTGACTAAACTGAGGCTATCATACTTTGGTCACTTTATGGAAAGACAAGAATCAGTGGAAAAGATAATAGTGCCAGGAAAAGTTGAAAGCAGCAGGAAAAGAGGAAGACCCAACATGCGATGAACTGGCTGAATCAAGGAAGCCACAGTCCTCGGTTTGCAACACCTGAGCAAGGCTGTTAACCAAGGGACATTTTGGAGGTCATTAATTCATAGGGTCCCCGTTAGTTGGAAGCAGCTTGATGACGACACACACCCACATTTAAGCACTTTTGAATATTTATTTCTGTCTTAGGGTAGAACTACATATTACTTTAGCAAACATGTTCCATACCTGCATTTGCCTGTGTAATCCAGATGTGAGGCCAAAGGCATCTTAAAGAGAGATGAGCATAATCTTTCCCACATCTGCCAGTTCTTTCCTTTCAGTGCCCCTGAATTCTTCTTCCTTCAAACAGAATTCTCAGAGGCTGGTCAAAAAAAAAATTAAAAATGATGGTTGGGGTGCATTTGCATGGAAGAACTCGTTGGTGAGGAAAGGAAGTGTGAAGCACTCCCTCCCATATTCTAATTCTCCCTTGTAATTAACATTATGAAGCAAACATGATCTTGGGAACCGTGACCTTGATTCTAAAGTTTCCTGTTTTTCCCAAAGCATTCATACTCCTGACACCACTTGTATAGATCACAATTCATATGAAATGGATCTCGCTCCATTTACTATTATTGCCAGTATTCAAAATAAAATTTGCTAAATTTGCATGAGTGAACACAAATTGAAAATGCTGTTTGCTTAAAGGTTCCAGGATCACGCACTGGAGACATCTTTGCGAAACTGGAAATCTACATGTGGCTTGGGGTAATTAAATATGTGAAGAACAGCACCGCTGAGCTACCTGAGGAGTTCAAACCAATTTATGAGAAGTCACAGCCTTCTACAAGGATTCCAGCACACCTCCCACCTAGCCAGCTCAACAGAGATGGTAAGCATGTATGTATAGCTCCTCTCTGAGGTCCAATGTGTTGAGACTCTCCAAAATAAGATATCAGACCAACATGGAGAACTTTAGTGTCTCACGTTCCATATGTAGAAAAAGCTCAGGTTCCATACATAGAAAAAGCTGTCCTGCTAATCAAGTATCAGATGGACTTCCTGGAAGACCAGGCATTTCTGGAATCAAGGAATGGAATGGTCATAAATAATACACTCTTATTCAAAATAAATATGGTCCTTGTGTCACAGTGGACCTTTAGTGTGCCATCACAGTGGCCCTTTAGTGTGCAGGGTTTCCTATTTCCTAATATCAAATGCTCATGCAAGGTCAATGGGCAAGGCTAGCTCAACTGAAGAAATAGTCTGAACAGATGAGATGGGACTCCATTAGATTTGTGACTGGATCTTCCCAGCATTTAAATAAATTAAATTACAACTGTGCACAGATCTGACTCTGATGGAAACCATGTGGGGAACATAAGAAGAGCCCTACTGGATCAGACCAATGGTCTATTTAGTCCAGCATCCTGCCTCACACAGTGGCCAACCAATTCCTCTGGACGGCCAACAACAGGGCATAGAGAGCTTGGCCACAGCAGCGGGCCTTGTGGCTCTGTCCCAGCAGAGTGCCCACGCTCTGCCCCGCCCCAGAAGCAACACCTAGAGCCAAGGGCTTGCCTGAAGCCTGGCGTCTTCTCTTAAGTATGGGGGCGGGACAGCACAAGGAGGGCTTGGGGGGCTTGGGGGAGGGCCAAGGGAGTGCAGAAGGGAATAAAATAAGGGCAGCCAGAAAGGGCCAGGGATGATTGCCTGAGGTATGCGGAGCTGAACCCAGAGAGATGGAAGGCAAGCGACCCAGGAGGAGTACAGGGTTGGATGGTGATTACACTCTTATTCAAAATAAATATGGTCCTGGTGTCCAAGATAATAAATCTTGCATAGGTGTCTTATGGGGGGTCGTCTGGCCATCCCAGACTGAGCCCTGGACTTGTTTGTTTATTTAATGTATTTTTAACCTGCTTTTCTTCCAATGAGCTCAGGACCTCCATTTTATCCTCACTACAACCCTTAGCGGTAGGTTAGACTGAGAGTGACTGGACCAAGGTCACCCAGCAAGTTTAGTGGCAAGCAGGTATTTGAACCCAGGCCTCCATGGTCCTTGTCCAACCATTACATCACAGTGGCCCTTTAGTGTGCAGGGTTTCCTATTTCCTAATATCAAATGCTCATGCAGGGTCAATGGGCAAGGCTAGCTCAACTGAAGAAATAGTCTGAACAGATGAGATGGGACTCCATTAGATTTGTGACTGGATCTTCCCACCATTTAAATAAATTAAATTACAACTGTACACAGATCTGACTCTGATGGAAACCATGTGGGGAACATAAGAAGAGCCCTACTGGATCAGACCAATGGTCTATTTAGTCCAGCATCCTGCCTCACACAGTGGCCAACCAATTCCTCTGGACGGCCAACAACAGGGCATAGAGAGCTTGGCCACAGCAGCGGGCCCTGTGGCCCTGTCCCAGCAGAGTGCCCATGCTCTGCCCCGCCCCGGAAGACATAACCCCCTCCCCCCACTCGGCTAGCTGAGGCCCTGGCTGCCCAAGGGGGCTAGACACATGGTGGCTGAGCCTTTCCTGAGGTCGGGATCCAGTGACAGCGAAGGGGGGTCAAGTGACTCGTGTGACAAAAATTTATATCTCCGCTACCTGGCATTACATTTTATGACACACATGGCTCAGCCCAACAAGGTCTCATTTATGTCGGACCCGGCCCTCATAACAAATGAGTTCGACACCCCTGCTTTAAAAGGTAAACAACAATATGAACTACTTCAGTTCTGTGAAACCACTAACCTGGTTGAAGGGTTTTAAATAGAAGTATTTTAAATAAAACACATTTTTAAACAATTTTGCACAGTTGCTACATCAGTTCTTAAAATTAATTGTGGCTAGAAATCTGTTCATATCACACATTCACTATTATCCTGTCATTTGTCTTGCAGCACTAATTGACATCTCACTTTTTTTTAGACTTCAGTTACTTTCAGTTGCGAGCCCATTTATATCAGGCTCGGGGGATTCTCCCAGCAGATGAGAACGGCCTTTCTGATCCATTTGCAAGAGTGGTGTTTTCGACTCAGTGCCAGACTACAACCGTAAGTATATCTTGCACAGAATCGTGAACAAGCACTTTGGAATGTCCTTCTGAAATGCCAGTCTTCTCTCTCACACATACATACACATCCCACATATGTATATATACAGGGGTCTTGTTGTAGAAAAAGAGCTGCCGGAGCTCATTAGCATAACTCATTAGCATAACTTATTTGCATATGTCACGCCCCCTGACATCACCGGAAGTGACAGAAGGCCACACCCCCTGACATCACCGGAAGTGTGTCAGAAGGCCCGGCTACTTACCCTCCTGCTTCATCCTCATTCCCAAACGGAATGAGGATCGAAGCAGAGGGCGGGGTAAAGAAGGGGGCGGGGCTTCACCACGTGACAGCCCCGCCCCCTAGAGGTTCTCTTCCGGAGCTCCGTACCTGAGAGCTCCCCCCCGACTAGAGCCCTGTATATATATGCAAGTATGTATTTTTATTGAATCCTAAGCTCAGCATCCTTTCTTTACTTATCCCATTTTTTAAAAAACTGCTACCATCTTCCAAGCTGTTTTTCCCTCTGGTAGTAAAGATATGGGTATCCATATCACCTTCCCCAGAGAGAGAAAATTAGCTTGGTATTTCAGTGGTTTTTAGTAGGAAAACTACCAGAGAAAAATAAGCAAACTGTCCTTCTGCAATGTTTGGTATTTTTTAAAGCTAGAGGAAAGGTGCATGTTGTTGTATGTCCCATCTGCTTTGTTTAAACAACCATACTCACTCTGATTTCTGTTCACTTAGATCTTGGAAGAGACACTGAGCCCAATGTGGAATGAATTACTTCTTTTTGACCAGCTCATTGTTGATGGAAAGAAAGAGGACTTGAAGACAGAGACACCAATTGCTGTTATCAATATCTTTGACCACAACAAATTTGTAAGTTAGAAACCCCTTAGCAGATATGTGTGGCTACAATTGTCTCTTTATAATGGATTGATTCTTCAGGTAGCCCTACACATGACAGCTTCATTTCTCCACAGTAGCAGTTTCTAAATAGTCTGAGAAGCACCAGAAGGAATTTTGTAGGTCAACCAGCAGCCTTCCTGTAGCAGGTGTGAAGGGGGAGGTTACCGAGATCTCCAGAACCACCAACACATGACCCTCAAATAAAACCACCATCCTATAACACTGCTCTGTGAAATGTCCATCAGTAACTTTGATGGATAATTAGCATCCTAAAATAATGTTTTTGCATTGAGTTTCTGTTCCCTCTTCTTCTTAGGGCTCCCCAGAATTCCTCGGCCGAGCTTTTGCTACTCCACAGGTGAAGCTGGTAGATGAGCCATACAGCAAACCTGCTCTCCAGTTTTTTGATATTTATAAAGGACATCGAGCAGCTGGGGAATTAATTGCCGTCTTTGAGCTGATCGAACTGGATTATAGTGGCTACTTGGAGGTAAGCAGAATCTGGACCCATAACACAGAGGAGCTGCATGGTTGATTGAATGGGATGTGGCTCATTTATTTTAGGTTGTTCTTACTGGCCACTAGATGTGCAATAAGTCATGTGTATTAACTACATTTACCATAACAGATGTACTTGTTTTGTCACGTTCCACTGGTGGAGGAGCATTTACAGCAATTTTTCACTGCACTAATGATCAGGGCTGGGTTTTGTTGGAGAACTTTGATCAGGACTCTGCATTGCAGCAGGACTCAGATTGCACTTTTTAGAGGAAGTTCAGGCCTAGAAGTCAAAAGTAAAAAAATAATAATAAAGAAATGAGTGCCCTTGAGCATGTACCAAGTGTCCTTCTGTTAAGGAATGAACTTAATATTTGCTTTATGGACTATGTTTATTGCTACACTATGGACTGTGCACACACACACATAGGCTCAGAAAGCTGTACAAGTCACCTGTTGTGATACTACACATAGAAGGTGCCTGCATAAGCCTTACACGTGAATGAGGTTTCAGTTACACAGCACCAGCCTGGTGAGGAAGCACACACCTCCGTTGTTGTCAGCAAAACAACAACTTGAGAAGAAGCAGCCCCCAATGCTGAATTGTTTGTGGTCACGCACTCCACATCTCTGATTTATTTCTACACTGGCATTTCTTGCCAGATGGACCTTTTATGACCAGAGGAATGGCCAAGCTTCATCTGCACTTCAAGGGAGCGCCTTGACGCCAAGTTTTCACACTTGCCCAGATGCCATCCTTTGAGTTAGGTCTTAGGTTACAATATTGTCCAACCCTCTAGGTAGCCACCCCTCACTACAAGCAACCAATAGGATTGTTTTTGGGACGGACTAACAGGTAGGTGGGTCCACAGGTTGGAACCGTTACCTCACACCTAATGGACCACCTATAAAAGGTAAGGACCATTCACCTGGCCCTTCCTAGTTAGCATCCCCCGCAACAACCCCTGTCTGCTTTATACTCCCCTTTTGTCCAGCTTGCTATACCAAAACCCTTGCCTCTACTTTGATCTCTTGATCTGCAGTCAAGAGACCCACACGTACTGGCTGGTTCTAGTCGTGTGTTAAAACTCCCTAGAGTTCTATTTCTTCCCATCCATTCTTTATTGGAACAAACAAGCTTCAAGACAGATAAGTATCACCCCTCATCACCCCACCTGCTAATGGAAACGTGCTTATTTTAATACTGTATTTCTAAGTAGCTTGATTGAATGTGTGAGCGCATCAGTATTGTTTGTATGTGATTTATATTCTTTAAGTAAAAGACATTTATTTTAACAACACCAGCCTCAAGTCCTTCTCTGGTAACCCTTGGTGGGAACAGGACCTTGGTATAGTTGGCAAGCACCCAGTTTAAAATTTGCCAATTGCTGTAGATAAAGCAATTCGGCTAACACTTCTCCCACTGCTGAATAATCACAGGCAGATCCTATACAGCTGGTACTAAGGGAAAGGGTTTCTGGATCATAAGTTCTGAATCCCAGGTGAATGAGATCTGACAACTTTGATTCTAGAAATTAATAATTGATTGTGATTCATGGCTAAACTGACCTTACGGGTCAACGAGTAAACTATTATACATCTGTGTGTCCTGACTCTTCTTTGTTGCTTAGCCATCAGTGCCTCATGATGTTGAGCCCAAGGAACCAGAATACCTAGGGGATCCTCGTTCTGGACGATTCATTGTCCCTGAGGGAATCCGACCAATTCTTAAGGAGTTTCGCATAGAGGTAAAATGATTCCTGCTTTTTCCTTAAGAGTTTTTAGCACATAATTTCTTTTAACTTTACAACTGTTCGTATTTCAAGTAGATTAGTGGGGTGGAAATAACTGGGTAATAATATCGGCTGTTGTCAACTTCCTCATACATAAATCATGGTAAATGAGTTGTACTATCTAAAGCAAAATCTTCACATTTGTTTCTGATTGTACTCCTGCAGCACAATAGGTGTAGTGTCTGTGGTAAATGACGCCTTATCCCACGGGTAACTTCTGTGTAAACATGACAGATTTTAAGATAAAATGTCCGATTTGCATTCAATTAATGCTTGAAGGCTAGTTTACTAGCCTTCTCTGTTGTAAAAGGGTGGAGAATGGGTTATTCTAGCCTTTTCAGCCTATCTGTGAGGTAGGTTAGGCTACCAAAGAGTGACCGGCCTAAGGCCAATCAGAGAGCTTTACAGCACAGTGGGGATTTGAACCAGGGTCTCCCAAATCCTATTTCCATGCTTTAACCACAACACCAAGCTGGCTTTTCCTTTTCTGCATTCAATGGCTTTAATTACAAGCAGAGTTACACTGCTCTTTTCATTAAGTTAACGTCTTATTGTGGTCATTCTGTCCTACATCCAAAGCCTAATTTGGTCCATGCTTCCCAAGAGAAAAGGGAAAATATTAGCATTCTTAATCTGAAGAAGGATAGATGATTTGTAGTCTCATCATAACCAGAGTTACACCCTTCTAAGCCAAATTACTTGGAAGGATGTAACTCTGCTTCAGAAGGCAACGTTACTAAACTGACATATTTCTAAAAGCTTCCCGTGGTGGTAAGAGGTAAAAGGTTCTTATTTCTGTTGGGGATGGTAGAATAAGACTGGAGATGACAACTCCTCATTGCAGTCTAGTAACTTAAAATCTGGGACATCTAGGTAAATACCACATCCCCAGAAGTCATCCAGTTGGTCTTGAATGCTGTTGGATACTCATACAAATATTATCCTATGCATTTTTTATCAGGTTATATGCCTACACCTCATATGTTAAGTGACAGGACTTCAAAACAGAATATACTGGGATTAGGATTGGTAATTCATAATCTCTTTCTGGAACTTCAAATTCAGTATTTAAGAAATCTAGCAGAGGAACACAATGCCATCAGATCTAAATATTTGTTCTGAAATGGGATCATTGACAGTCGATTAACACACAGTGATTTAAGTTGCAAACAACAGAGGACAGAAGTGAGAAGGTGTACCTCATATTTGCTACTCTCTGTTTCTGTTTGTGCCCTCAGTGGGCAATTATTTTGCCTCCTATTTCTTAGATCTTGTTTTGGGGCCTGAGAGACTTGAAACGTGTGAACTTGTTTGAAGTTGACCAGCCGCAGGTGATCATTGAATGTGCTGGAAAGAAAGTAGAATCAGAAGTAATAACATCATTCAAAGAGAACCCAAATTTCACTGAACTTGTCAAATTTGTTGATGTGGTGAGTATGAACTGGAACATTAGGGACAGATTTTAAAGAATGGAGAATGTTATTTGTAGCTTTCCACCTATATGTTTAGCAGAACAGATTGAATCAAAGAATGGGACTGACTGGCAGGAATTTGCTTTGCTCTCATTGAGTTAGATCTAGTTGGAAATTGCCCTTCCTGCTTCTTCTGTCTGTGAAGCTGTCCTGACACAAGAGGAAGCAGGGAATGCCTTTGGCTCCCTCCCCTCACTGCTGCACCCTGACCTGAATGGCTATGACTCCATGTGGCTCCTATGACTCTGGGAATCAGTTCTCCTGTGGTTGAAAATGGCTGCCAGGGGGAGGGAAAGTTGTGATGATCTGCAATCCTTATCCAACTCACTATATTTTTAAGATGGATTTCTGAAATACCCGCTGTTGAGGATCCTCGAGGTTTCTATATTACTGATGGAAATTACTACATCCGCAACCATTGCAGAGTTGAGAATGACTGGGCAAGGTTACAGCACTGCTATGAGTGTTTACTATTGTACTTGTGGAAGGTCCCATAATGAATAGCTTGTTCCCTTAAAAAGCTTAATTTGCAATGAAATGGGAAATCTCTAAGATGCAACAGTCTTCTACAATCTAATTTGTGACTCTTTATTGGCTTCTTTCACAGGAGCTCCCAGAGCAGGTATATTTGCACCCACCCCTGAGTATCTTTGTGGTGGAGAAGAGGGCTTTTGGACGCACTGTCATGGTGGGAACACACATAGTGTCACATATTATGAAATTTGCTCCTAAAGAGGTAGATGAGTTTGAAGATGAAACAGACAACCCACCAAAGAGTGAGTTTTTAAAATCTAAAATATTTTGGGACACCTTTGGATTATGTGTGATAATATGACTATCATGACAGTAGAAGCATTCTATTCTTCAGCCTGAGGGTGTGGAACCCTGCACCTAGTATAAGACCACAGCCACTCCACTGTCCATCGCCCTGTCCAACTTCTTGTCACAATTTTGTCAAGAATTACCAGAGTTGCAGAAGGTCAACGAGAGCCATGCAGAAAATATTAAGACCAGTTACATCCAGGCAGCATACTCTGAAAGAAATAATGGCTTGGATCCACCAAGGTGTTTCTGAAGATGGATTTCCACCTGCAGAGCATAACTTTCCCCCCTTCTACTGCAGCTCAGAACACTCTCCAAAATCTTCTTTCTCCTTGGAGTCCACTAAGGAAGGTGAGAAAGTCCTACTCTGCAGGCAGTAGTCCTTCCATCTGCAGAAACATTACAGTGGATCTGAGCCAATATGTTGTACTGAAAACATCTGAGGTAAGAAGGTCGCATGGGCAACCTGAACTCTGATATTTCTTGAGTTTGCAGTATTACTGTCAGAACCATTCACTTTAAAGGATTATAGATATGGTGCGGACATATAGGAAATTACAGAATTTTGAGATGGGCAAGGTCATGTATCTCAGTCCAACATTCTTCACCAGCTAATTAAAGGAATGCTATGTGTGGTTGCTATAAACTGGTAAGTAAAGTAGAAACAGTATGTCAAACACAGACTTATTTTACTGGTATACATGATCTATGCTGTTCTGTTTTAGCACGGAAAGCCTCAGCTCGACCTAACATCTCTAAAACAATGCAGAACCTTGGTGCAGCGGCTGGGCACACTGTGATAAACATCGGTGCAGTGGCTGGAAAGACAGTAATAAATATCGGCGCAGCTGCTGGCGATTTAGGTAGCAAAGCAAATCCCCTTAAGCTTGTAAAGGTAAGTATACAGGGAAAAATCCAAATGTACACCAATTTTGCTGTTGGAGACTATATCTGCTTGTTTGTAGTTCTGAATGTAGATACATTCTTCAGAGAGTGGTTTTCCACAAAGCTGAACCATCCAGAAGCATAGTGTGCTTTATGATGGATAGACCTTAGTGAGCACAGATATAATGTAGAAATGGATGAGGTCAGTCCCTATACAAAAGAATAAATGGACATAAATCTGATGTTAAAAACCACAACACTCAAAAACCAGTGGGAGAAAATTTTAATCCTCCAGGTCATTCCATTGCTGACCTAAGAGTGGCCGTCCTCAAACAAAGAAACTTCAAGGGGAAATTACAATGTGAGATTGCTGAACTTGAGTTCATTCACAGGTTCAGAACAATTTACTTCCCAGAGCTGAATAGGGACATAGGATTCTTATCTCACCACAGATGCTAATTGTCTATTCCCAAGTATTTCCCCTCTGCTCTAATCAAGCTGATCAAGTTTGGCTCTGGACACCAACTTGTTCAGGATAATGAAAACCAAAGTAGGCAGTAAAGAGCTCCCAAAGGAACTCTCCAAACAGACTGAATGGGTAACAAGACGACAAATGAGATGAGATTCATGAGTGAATGTAAAGTAATATATTGATGAGATCTGAACAGCCTGTGACTTTTCAGGGGAAGAAATCTTGCGATAGGGGGGTTTAGCTGAATGAAAATGTCAACTCCAGCAGCACTGAAAAAAGGCAAATTCCATTTTAGGGATTACTAGGAAAGGGGTTAAAAATAACATGTATTGTGGCTGCATATGGAGACTACTTGCCCCATCTCAAAAAAGGATATCTTAGAGCAGGGCTCCCTAAACCCTTTTTGAGCCTGCAGGCCCCTCTGGAATTCCAACACAGTGCGGTGGGCACAGCCACAAGATGCCTGCTGCAGGAGGCAGAGCAAGCCTGTCTGGGACTGGTGCCTGTGCCCCACACTCACTTCAGGAGCCAGAGCAGCTGCTGGTAAGCCCATGACAAGCAGGCCACTGGGAGCATCGGTGGCAGGGTCCAAGAGTGGAGGAGCAACAGTCCTACCTGCTGCAAAGCTAGGTAGACCCGTGGAGGCTGGGCGGCACCATGGCAGCAGAGCAGCCAGCGGGAGAGGTGTGGCCAGGCCCACTACAGGATGCCTGGTACAGGCCATGTCAGCAGAAGCTTTTGAGGAGGGAGCAGGCAGCAGCGGCCAGTATGGGCTGAGAATGTGGCCCTTTAAGGTAGCCCAAGTGGGTGGGGCAGAGTAGGGGGCCCCCAGTTCACAGCCCCATTGGCCCTGGGTCCTGCTATTCTCCCAGGCTCAGCCCATGTCAGTGGAGAGTGGGGGAGCCCAGGGATGTCCTTCCCCCAGGAAACCCTTTAAGAGATGGGTTAGGGAAGGGCCCAACCACTCCCTTAATGCTCTGGGAGAGACAAGTGGTGTGTGAGAAAGAGGGAGCCGGATAAGATGGAGCCCCTCTCCTTTCTCTAATCTGAGGCTCATCCTAGGCTTGGCCAGCAAAAAGGGGATATTGCAGAAGACTCTGACTTGGTACAGGGGGAGTTGGAAAAAGCCATAAAATAACTGCTGCAGCTTACTTTCGGTCACACAGTGAAGATTCTTGTCTTGTGGTGGCAGCTGTTGCCAAAGCAATGTTTTTAAAAAGCTGCATGTCCACTCAAATCTCCAGTGGCCAGTCAGAAGCCTTGCTAGGCAAAAGCCTAACCTGGTCCCACCCCCATTTCTAAATACTCAGCAGGCACCGGGAAAGGTGTCACAGGATACCACACTGAGGACCTCTGTCTTAGAGCTTGAAAAGATACTGAAGAGTGTGGCCAAAATGATGAAAGCACCTTCCCTATGAATGGAAGTGAAAGTTCTGGACTTTTTATTTTAGAAAAACATTACTAGGGGAGGAGGGATTATGATCGAGCTTATAAAATTATAATTGGTGTAGAAAAGACAAATGGCTCCTCCCTCTCTCGCAATCCTAGAAATCCAGATCATCCAGTGAAGCTGAATGGCAGTAGATTTAGGACAGGTAAAAACAGCTACATAACTAACATGGAATTGGCTGCCACAAGGTGTGGTGATGCTCACTGGTTTAGATGATTTTAGGGGAATAACATAAATTTAGGATGTGAAGGATCGCTCTATCAGAGGTGATTAACCTTGATACTAAATACTAAACTCTCTGTGTTCTGAGGCAGTTGCCTCTGAATACCACTTAGGGGAGAATGAAAAGTGGGACGGGGTGCTGCTGGATAAAAAGGTTTAGTCCAACGGGGCTTTTCTTAGTGCTACACATGTCCTTACTTGGTTGACTTCCACTGTTCTTTATTCTTAGGCACCTCTGAAAAAAATTCCTATTGATAAACTGATACCAACACAGGAAGAATTTGAGGAGGAAAAGCCTGAAATAGAAGAACTGGATTGGTGGTCTAAATATTATGAATCATTAAAGGAAATGAACAATCAGGTAATGCATTGCTAGTTCCATTATAACATACCCTGTGTTAGTGTATTTATATTGTAATGTGTGGGTATGTGAAGCAAATGGAGGGGAGATAATTAAGAATGTTATCCAGTAAGTGCAGTATCCTCATCTGAACTGGAGAAGCAGAGGGAATGTTGAAATCCTCATCAAGGGCAGGATGGAAAACTGAGGAACAGACACACACAGAGGAAGCACAAGTGCGGGGGAGAATAGGGGTATTTTTAAAAATGCACTGGGAAAGAAGACTGAGAGAGCATAAAACCAATATTGTACTGCCTCTGAAATGTTTTAGTTGGCACAGCCAACGCACACAAAATAATTATTAGATCCTTTTTAATGCAAATAATTGGTTCTCTTTAATGTGTTTCTTTTCCCAGTTATTGTTATGAGAACAAGGCAGATTACAAGTATAATTAAAAAAACCCTTTTTGGTCAGTCAGTAAGCAGATTGGAAGATACGATAATATCTATATACTAATAGCAAAGTCAGCCAAATCTGAGGATACTTAAATCCGGTGACTGGAGATATGAACAGGCAAGACGGATCTTTCTACAAACTTCTCCAAAGCGCCCATATTCTCTATGAGAACTAGGTTTGCCAGTGTCCAGTGGGGACAGGCGATCACCCACAATTACAATTGATTTCCAAATGACAGAGATCAATTCCCCTGGGAAAAAATAGCTGCTTTGGAGAGTGGAGTCTATGGCATTATGCCCTGATGAGGTCGCTTCTGTCCCCAGACCTCGCCTCCCTAAGGCTGTACCCCCAAATCTCCAGGAATTTCCCAACTTGGAGCTGGCAAACCTAGGGGCAACTGATCTCTGTAGTTGGGAGTTCTGCTGTGATTCCAGAAGATCTTCAGACCTAAGACAAAAAATGCAGTTGGGCTGGGATTGTAGAAAGGTAGGGGGACCTGAATAACATATATGGACACATCTGTTTAAGGCAGCAAGACAGTCAGGGTAGGAAAGACTTTATGCCTAATAAAAGTCACATCCTGAGCTGAACCATTACACTGCAGCTTTGCTCCTTTTACAAGAATGCCCTCCTGAACAATTCTGTTTTGCACATTTTGCAAAATGATAGAAGTGTGGTAGCCTCAGGCAGCCACAATGTAGGAACCACCACAGAAAAGGTGTGTCAGTGGCAGTTCCCAATTTTACCTATTTCCAGAGTGGCACCTTCAGAAGGCTTTGCTCTTATGAGCTGATCTGGAGAAGCAGAAGATAGCAGGAGAGGTGGTCCTGCAGTTATATGGGTCCAGTGCCTTTAATGGCTTTGTAAGTGATAGCTAGCACCTTGAACCATGTAACATCAGTAATCAGTGCTGAAGAAATGTGGTGATATGAAGATTCTGCTTTGCACCTGATAGCAGCCAGGCTGCAGCATTCAGTACCAGCTGTAGTTTCTAAATTGTCCAGAAAGGCAGACCCACACAGGGTCCTGTAATCTAACAAGGTAACCACAGCATGGATTCATGTATCTAGTGATTTTGGGTGCTGTGTACTTCAAGATGCATTCTTTTGTGGGTCCAAGTAGAAACTTATTTATTGGGTTGCCAGCTTGTCAGGAAGCACAGTGATTTACAGTACAATCCTAAACAGAGTTCCCCCTTCAAAATCCACTGAAGTCAATTGGCTTACAAGGGCATAGCATTTTTTAGGATTGCACTGTTGATATATGAATTTTGCTGTCTTGTGGTTTTGTATCACTATATTTTTGAACTTTATACAGTCGGATTTTTACTCCATAGGCAGGATCCATTATTTACTAAATGCATATTTATTTGCAAGATACTTCTTTGTCCTGTCAAGATGTATGAAAACTTAGCACATTTACATAATAATATCAATAATCATGCTTGTGTGTATTGATCTGTTTTGAATTATTATTTAATAATGCGAGTAGCTCCTCATTTTGTATTCATTATCGTGTATGAAATAAAAAGGGGGAAATGCTGCTTGTTGAGCTTCTTAAAAGCTAGGCACCATACAGAATGTGTAAGACATTTACTACCCAATTAGGATGAAAATTGAATATAGACAACAGAAATGAGCTAAAAATAATCTAAAATCTGAGGAAGAAAAGGAGAATGATGGGAATTTTCTTTTGTAATGTATTCTGTTTATAGAATCTGTGTCTTTGGCCCTGATAACAGAACATTTGCTAAAACAGTGAAATGGTAGGGATTGAGCATAAGATGATGAGTTTTTATGTCTTTTTATAGTTCTTTAGTGATGAAGAGGATGGTGAGAACGATGACCCCAATGATCCGGGTGAGTTCTTTTTACTGTAGGAGTTTACTAAAACAAGAACTATTCAGATTCACTCTGTTTTTCAAAAGAGCCTCTCCATCCCATAGCCATGTTCTACAAGGATCCATTATTTACTAAATGCATATTTATTTGCAAGATACTTCTTTGTCCTGTCAAGATGTATGAAAACTTAGCACATTTACATAATAATATCAATAATCATGCTTGTGTGTATTGATCTGTTTTGAATTATTATTTAATAATGCGAGTAGCTCCTCATTTTGTATTCATTATCGTGTATGAAATTAAAAGGGGGAAATGCTGCTTGTTGAGCTTCTTAAAAGCTAGGCACCATACAGAATGTGTAAGACATTTACTACCCAATTAGGATTAAAATTGAATATAGACAACAGAAATGAGCTAAAAATAATCTAAAATCTGAGGAAGAAAAGGAGAATGATGGGAATTTTCTTTTGTAATGTATTCTGTTTATAGAATCTGTGTCTTTGGCCCTGATAACAGAACATTTGCTAAAACAGTGAAATGGTAGGGATTGAGCATAAGATGATGAGTTTTTATGTCTTTTTATAGTTCTTTAGTGATGAAGAGGATGGTGAGAACGATGACCCCAATGATCCGGGTGAGTTCTTTTTACTGTAGGAGTTTACTAAAACAAGAACTATTCAGATTCACTCTGTTTTTCAAAAGAGCCTCTCCATCCCATAGCCATGTTCTACATTGAAAGTTATGGGAAATCCCAGGCAGCTTTTGCAAAAAAGCCTTTGCAGGCTGGTCAGAACTGCCTTTGCAATTGACTGATTTACACATGTACTGATTGAGCAGATATGATGGATGTGCTAGATGTAGAGTCAAGAACAGTCTGGCAACACCTGAGTCTCAGCAATGTCATTTCAGTCTCCTACAACTGGTTCTCTTCAGAAACCTCTCAGGAATTCTGCCAAGCAAAACTAAACTACTTCCTTCAAATATCCTTGTACTCTGCACAAACTCCAAGGTCCCTTTGTTCTCTGTGTGTAGACTGATAGGAGCCATTCCACAAAACTCCCTACTCCTTTCTTTCAGTTTATAGCCTGCTGTCCTATAGTAATGATATCTTAATGAGTAAGGCAGAATATCCCATTAATATCTCCGTATTATATTTAGAAGGAGGGAATCTAAATATTGCTTCTCTGGATGTGGATGCAGAAGATGAAGTAATAGTTGAAGCTGAGCCGGTTCGTCCCAAAAGGAAACTCATAGCCACGTTAAAGGTAAGTCTTAGAGGATGGAATCCTGTCATACCCTATACATGAGTAAATCCCACTGAGTGAGGTTGATTGTAATTAAGCCTCCTGCCATGGAAGCTAGTTGGAGTAAGGGGATCTGGCTGGGAAGACCCCCACTGAGCCAGGCTCAGACTTATCAAAGGGGGACCCCGATGGAGCTCCAAAAAGAGACAGGGTTCCTGTCTGAGATATATCAGGAAGGCCAGGGAATCCCCAGCACGACACGGTTTCCCTCAGACCCAGAGTCCGTGGCTCTCTTGGCCATGCCCCAAAAGCCAGGCCTCACCACTGGAAGCCCCGGAGCACCCACCTCCTGTGGCTGGGTGCTAAGAGCCTGCGGCTGAGACCTCGCCACTGGGAGATGCATTCCAGAAGCAGCAACAGCTAACCATGGCTGAGCCAGGCCAGGGCCAGGACTACCAGCCCTCCAGGCTCTGCCACCCCCCAGAAGGAGCAACAGAGACAATGGGTCTGCACAGAAGCAACCCAGTGGAGGTGCAGTGCTAGGCTTGCAGCTGAAGCTCCATCTCTTGGGCAACACCACAGTTACAGTGAATGTAATCCATTGCAGGATTCTGGCTGCAGTTATGCCTTGACAAGATAAGTCCCAGGTGCTGCCTCCAGACAGCATCTTGTGAGGTAGGTTAGCTTGAGAGAAAGTGACTGGCACAAGGTCACCCAGTGAGCTTCATTGCTGATCAGGTCTTTGACAGGACTCCCCCACCCTAATCCAAAATTCTAGCCACTCCATCACACTGATTGGTTTCCAGACTGGTTGCAAGATCAGAAATTGAGCCTTTTGATAGATTACCGTAAATATCCTAAATTGTTTAGGCATTTCACAGAAACTTTGCTAACAGTTTGGGGATAGGTTCTTATACGTGTATGTCTCCTGTTGTGTGACATTTGAGGTTTAACAGATAACTGGTCACTTGTGCCAAGATCCTTCCACAACTGTTCTGGGTCACTATTATGGTTTTCCTGCCAGACAAGAACAGATGGACTTCCTTGCGGTCTTCAGAGGCTATGCATATAACACAGTGGGCGATTTCTCACTAGAGCTGCCTCGCAGCACAGCCGCCGTTTGCCCCGACACAAACATGTCAATTTCACACCCGAAGTTCCGGGGCTGCATTTTGACTCGCGGCTTCGCCCAATTTCCTCCGCAGTTTCGTGATCCTGGTTTTTGAGGATCATGAAACTGCGGAGGAAATTGGGCGAAGCCGCGGGTCAAATGCAGCCCCGCAGCCTCGGGTGTGAAATTGACATGTTTGTGTTGGGGCAAACGGCGCTGCGCTGCGAGGCAGCTCTAGTGAGAAATCGCCCAGTGATACACATATATACTTGACTTTTTATTTAGGATTTCAGATAACATTAAAAAGGAGTAATGCGTTAATTTTTCTATGGTGCGTTGGCCAATACTAGCTATTGTTTTCGCAGGAGAGCTCTTAAATTTAACATGCTTCTTATTTTAGATTTACAATTCAGAGCTGGAAAACGAGTTTGACAATTTTGAGGATTGGCTATGTATTTTTCCACTTCATCGTGGGAAAGCAAACGAGGATGAAGATGGAAATGAGGAAGATAAGTTTGTGGGGAAATATAAGGTAGATGAGTAATCTGAATTTGATAAAAATGTATAGGAATTGATAAGAAAATAATATGCCTTAATGGATCAGGTCTCCGAAAAGGTAGTTAAAATATTTATCTGTGTTAAATTGCTTTTTGAACATGCTCCAGGATATAGAGTAGCAATTGTAATTCACATTAATGATTAGAGGGTTGAATCCAACAAAGTATGCACAACAGTGTTCACTGGGAGCTGGGCAAAAATCAGCCTCATCCTTCTTTTTAACTCTGGTGCTTCCACTGACTGGAGGCAATTTTGCCTCTTTCCTCCTCCTCACTGCATCTTCATAAGGCCATATGTTTGTTTGTTTTTTCCCAAACAGGTCCCATGGCCTCTAGAATTTGCCTTTTTGTGGTCTCTTACTGGGGAAAGGGGAAGTCAGGAAAGATCTGCACCAATGTGTGCCGTCTGCTCATACTGTGTTAGATCCAACCCTATAATAGTAGAAACAACTGGACTATTTGTCACAGATTAATATAGCATCAAAGGTACATTGTTTTAGTTATAGTAATATTAATTGTTTGAGAGTGAGCTTTATTAGCTGAATCTTTATTAGTCCAATGACTGCTGTGCCTTTCTAAGCCTCATTTGGGATATTACCTTTATCTTGGAGCACAGCCCTGATAAATCAGTGTTTAGAGGTGGTATTCTCTAGATATTTTTTTGATCAGGTGATAACTGTGTGATGATTTGTCTTTGAGGGTATTTTGGATGCAGCAGTGAAATGTAGTTTTAGACATACATCCCTTTGGAGATTGCCACAAGGTAGAAAATGACTGGATTAGGGATGGGCATGAATCGAGAAATGAACTGCGGTTTGAGCACGAACCAGGTTGGTTCATGGTTAGTTTCAAACTGGTTCATTTGGTTGCATCATTCCCGAATCCAAAAATGAACCACCTCTTTTCCATGGAGGTTTGTTTGGTTTGTTAGAGAGGTTTGCTCTCCAGATAGCCTGGCACCGATTTATCAATTCCTAGGCAACACTGGGGTAGATTTGTGGAGAGCCCTAGAAACACCCATAGCAGTTGTCCATATCTTGATTGATTGACAGCTCTGGGAGGCAACCACGGAGCTCCCATTCTGCTCTATGGGAACAGATTGTATATATACCACACCCTGACTCATCTGCTTTCACTTTGCAGCAGGAAGAGAGAGGAGTTAGTAGTTGTGTGAGAGCAAGTTAGGAAGAATCACTTGCTGTGTGGCTGATTTATGGGGAGGCGAGAGCTGAGCTTTTCTGGGGGCACCTGTTTTGGGGGGCTATAACTCAGACATCCCAAATCCAATCTTTGCCAAATTTCGAGGGTGGGTATAGGAAAGCCTGCTGAAGATTTCCTGTGGCATCTTAAACCTTATTGTATTGTTTGGGATGATGTGACCCCCCCTGAGGCCACTCACGGGATGGGCAGGCTACAAATACGAAAAGTAAATAAATAAATAATTCAAGGTGCCTACAGCAGAGATTCATTGTCTATATCTATTATTTCTGCATTTTTGTAGCCATAACTAGCCCAATATTGACAGATCTTGGAACCTAAGCAAGGTTGGCCCTGGCTAGTATTTGGATGAGAGACCACCAAGGAATACCAGGGTTGTAGCACAGAAGCAGGCAATGGCAATTCACCTCTGAACATTTCTTGTCTTGAAAACCCTATGGGATTGCCATAAATCAGATGTAATTTGACACCCAAAAAATTGAACAGTTGTAATGGTTTCTGTTCATCTAAATCATCTAGTGATTAATATTGTAACTCCCTTTGATATGGAATAGCATTGCATGTAAACATTGGTGCTATAGAACTGCAGTGATTTGTGGGAGCCCAGCATCATTCATGCAAAGACCTGATCCTTAGAACAAAGATCAGTTCATTGCTCAGAGTAAAACAAAATAATCCCTTTTTTGAGAGTTTCTCTCTCTTTGTACATTGTAGAACCGTAATTGTATGTTCATTGGCCTACTGCTTCCTATATCTTCCTCGTGAATTTTGTTATTAATAGCACTTTACATTTTCTGGGGGAAATGTGCCAGACTAGATCCTATCAGCTCTTCTGCTGACAGACAAGAGAGGGATCCTTTTTGATAACTGAAAAGGCTATGCTAGGAATAGTGGTGCCCACAGAGCAAAAACCCCATGGGATGGGGGCTGCAGTGAAAAATGGAACTAGATGAAATTGAACCAGATTGCTGGTAAGATTCATAAAGGATAACATAGATTCTTGTTCAATCTGTCTATTGCAGGGTTCATTCTATGTTTATCGGGCTGAAGAGGTAGGTGCAGAACACAAGATCTCCCAAGGCATCCCCAGAAACAGACCTATTAAGGTCCTTGTCCGAATTTACATAGTTAAAGTAAGTATTTCTCAGCAATATCTTTAATCCATTGTGAATTCACAATGGAAATTTTAATATTCTTTCCATTCAGGATGAAACATATTTATGCTCTAATAACTATGACTGCATAAAACAGTGAGATGGAGGGTGAGAAGGAGTCTTCTTCCTTACATCCCTGAATTATGCTTTCAGATAGTGTGATTTGAGGCTGAGTGTCACAAATTATTTTAGGAATTTTATATGGGTTTTTAAAGGATATATCTTTATCCCTTTAGAATTCTAGTAGCAGTGTGGGGAGCTCAGGAAATGAGTAGGCAATGGATGGTTTAACCCCCTTCCCATATCACCCCAGTCCAAATTGCAGCTATGTTCATAGTTAAATATTTACAGGCTGATGAAGATCTGTGATCTTGCAGCCACAAGAAAGCAGAATATTCTGAATCTTGTGGAGCCATTGCTTACTTTCAGTATACAATCAGCCCATTAATATAATGATTTCCCCTTATTTCACAACTCTACATCAGAGATCCCTTATTTTTTTCTTTTGGGAAACACAGGCTTTCTTCAGGTTCTGAGAGTTCAACCTATTTAGGGATTGAGGAGGAATTCTTCTGCTCAAGTTGGATTGGCTAGTGACCTTTATTATGATTTTGCCATGTACTTCTTCTCCTCTCTACTTTTGTCTTGCTTGGCAGAACTTTCTGAACCTACTGGTCCTGAAAATACCTTATTGTAGAACTCCTGTTAACAGGTTCTCTGGGGAGGCAGCGTAAACATTTTCTAAATAAACAAACAAATATGATTTCTTTTGCTCCATATTTGTGGTACCCTAGTCTGGCTGACTGAAATTCTTTTGTTGCTCGTGCATGCATGCACACCTAATGTGTGGCTGGCTGCGCATCATGAAGTTACAATTAGCTCATTTTGGTCTCTTCTAACTCTATGGTTCTGTGTTTTGATTTTGCAGTACCTAATCACATGTCATGCCAGGGATTCTTCTGCAATAGTAGCTGTTCATGACAAACCTAAAACCTCATAAAGCATCTGACAAACCTGAGGAATGCACCTGACCTCTGGGTGGCTGCTGTATGGCTTTGTGGCCTGTCATATGTGCAAACACCTCCACATTTAGCTTACCTTGACTATTTACTAAGTATATCAACTAAAATTAGTCTCCACCCTTGTTAATATAAAGGATCATTATGTTTGTTCTTTACTGCTGGCCTTTTAAGGGATCTTACTGTTCTGTGTGGTGTCAGAAAGACACTTGATTAACTGCTAGCCTTTGTGTTTGCAATTGGATGGTTTCCATTCCCTCCCCCCACCAAACAAAAATTACCAGTCATAGGGCTCTTTTTGTAGCAGGTACTCATTTGCATATTAAGCAACACGCCCCTAATGTAGCCAATCCTCCAAGAGCTTACAGTAGCTCCTGTAAGAAGAGCTCTGTAAGCTCTTGGAGGATTGGCTACATTAGGGGTGTGTGGCCTAATATGCAAAGGAGTTCCTGCTACAAAAAGAGCCCTGCGGGTACTATCCATGCTCTGTGCCCACCAAAACCAGTGTTAAACTCTACTCTGGAATACAGGCTTTAGGATCATGGTCTGAAAGATATGTTTTCGTTCTCCTTTGTTTTTGTTTTTTAAGTTCCAGCCTGATTAAGAGTTCTGGAGCACTCAAAAGGTTGCATGCTTTGTTAGGTTATTTTGGTTGGTCTTCATAAAAGGTATCCCATGGCTTTTATGTTAAGCAATTTAACATTATCAGCAGCTATCTTGGATACTTTTATGTTTTGCATAGAATTGTTGCAAATTTCTGCTATTTACAGCCTTTGTTTACAATAACTCCTCCTCTGCCGTGTATGTGTTTCTGCTGAAAGAGGTTGCATTCCGTGCATCTGATGGAAAGAACACTTATTTGGTACTCATTAAGGTGCCATGAGATTCCTCTTTGCTTTTGCTGCAACAGTCTAACATGGGAACCCCATGGGAATGTATAATCCCATATGTTATATTTTAGGCAACCAACCTGACACCAGCAGACCCCAATGGCAAGGCAGATCCTTACCTCGTGATTACAATTGGGAAACAACGGAAGGACACCAAAGAGAGATATATTCCAAAGCAACTCAATCCAGTCTTTGGAGAGTAAGGATGTGTTACTGTAGTTACATCTACTCCCACTGGCTTCATGCAGAGCATGTATTACCGTTACACAATCATAGGCAGACGTGTGTGCTTCTGTTCTTCAGGAACTGAAATGGGACAGAGAAGAACAGAGAAATGTTATACAGAGAAAGGAGGGGCATGAACTGTGACAGGCAGTGCAATCCTAAACAGAGTTCCACCTTCCTGAGTCCATTGAAGTCAATGGGGTTTCCTTAGGACTGCACTGCTAGTGAGCAGCAGAGAGGAGGAAGCACAAGATATGAGTCCAGTAGCACTTTGAAGACCAACAAGATTTCTTGGGAGTTTTAACCATATTGGTCTGCAATAGAACAGCTAGATTCAAGTCTAGTAGCACTTTAGAGACCAACAAGATTTTCGGGGTATGAGCTTTTGAGAATCAAAGCTCCCTTTGTAGGACATTTTGTTAGGTACTTCGCCAGAAGGGAGCTTTGACTCTTGAAAGCTTATACCCCAAAAATCTTACTGGTCTCTAAGAGGCTGTTAGACTTGAATCTAAGATTTCTGGCGTATCAGCTTTCTTCTTCTTCAAGAGTCAAAGCTTCCTTCATCAGACAGGAGAAGGGAGTGGCTGAGGATGCCCCAAATGATGGCTGGCTAGTATGACTGTAAATTGGGGAGGTGATTAAAAAAGAGCCTTGGTGGGGTTTGGCAGCCACTTGTCCACATGAGACAGGGAGGAAAACCTACCACAGTCAAAGAGTTGAAGGTGAGGGGTGCTGAAAGATTTTTACCAGGTCAAGTCATTGGCTCACATGTAGGGGTGGGCATGAACCAGAAAAATGTGGTTCACGTCAGTTTGTGTTGGTTTGTGCTTTTGGCCAAACCACAAACCAAACCAGGAGGTTCATTTGCAAACTGAACCAGTTTGTGGTTCATGGCGTTGCAAACCTGTTCAGTGGTGTTTGCAGAAAGCCTGAAAAACAGCTGAGCTCTGCTGTTTTGGGCTGTCTTGTGCAGTCCATTTGAAGTTTAAAGGGACTGTACAAGACAGCCTGAAACAGCTGAGGGGGGGGGAGCAGGCACTCCTTGCTGCTCAGCTGTTTTTCAGGCTTTCTTGTGCACTCCCTTTAAACTTTAAAGGGACTCCACAAGACAGCTTGAAACAGCTGAGCTGCAGGGAGTAGGCTGTTCCCTGCCGCTCAGCTGTTTTTGTAGCTTTTGCAGGGAACAGAAAGTAGGGGTTTACTCATAGTTCCTTTAAATCCTCATTTTCTGCTCTACCTACAAACTGTTTTAATAGTTTACTAACTTCAGTTCGTAAACCACAAACAGGGCAAAATTCAGAATGAGAGCCAGTTTGGTGTAGTGGTTAAGTGTGCGGACTCTAATCTGGGAGAACCGGGTTTGATTCCCCACTCCTCCACTTGCACCTGCTCATGTGACCTTGGGTCAGTCACAAGCTCTGGCATAGCTGTCCTTGAAAGAGCAGTTTGTGTCAGAGCTCTCTCAGCCCCACCGACCTCACAGGGTGTCTGTTGTGGGGAGGGGAAGGGAAAGGAGTTTGTAAGCCGCTCTGAGACTCCAAGTGAAGGGCGGGGTATAAATCCAATCTCCTCCTCCTCCTCCTCCTCCTCCTCCTTCTTATTCGTTCAGTTCTTGCCCATTCCTATTCATGTGTCAGCTTGATAGAACTTTGACTTGGGTACTTCTGTTGTATTTTATATGTGTAAAAAGAGGGGATACTACGAAAAGATAGGCAAAAAAGTAGTTGTTGCACAGAACACGTTTCTATGTGCTCCGTTTCACCCTCTATTTGCACAACTTCTTTTTCTCTCTTATATTCAGAGTGCTGGAGCTGACCATATCCTTTCCCATGGAATCAGAGCTCAGTGTATCAATATTTGATCATGATTTGGTGGGATCTGATGACTTAATTGGGGAGACAAAGATTGACTTGGAGAACCGATTCTACAGTAAACACAGAGCCAACTGTGGAGTGGCCTCACAATACGACACGTATGTACTACAAGAAGAGCTTGGAAGCCAAGCATGAATTCTTCCCATTATTTTTGTGGCTATACTTGCACTTTTCAGGGCCCGCAGTGGTAATCTTCCCAAAAGAGCCTGGTATCGAATCCCAGTGTGCCCTCTACGGAAATGTTAGCATTAAATGAAATCATGTCCAAGAGAACTCAAAATGTTTGACCCTGTTTATTCCTTGCAGAGAGGGCTACAATGAGTGGCGAGATGCTTTCAAGCCCACACATATCCTGGACAGTTTATGCAAGAAGAGTGCGCTCCCTTCAGCTGAGTACAGGAAGGAGGAAGTAAAAGTGAACAATAAGATTTTTAAGATCCCACCGGAAGCTTTCCCTGAAGGTATTGATCCCCATTCTTGAAAGGCTGTCATATCAACTAGTGAAGTTTCTGAAATGCTTTCCATCTGGTTCTGTGAATTCATTTTCATCTGTTCCCTGCAGTTTGCTGGAATCTTTTCATATTGGAACTGCGCGTGATTAATTAATAGCGTACCTATTTTCTGTTAGGTAAATAGTTAGTGGATTGTGCTCAATAATTATTCTGCTGCAGGAGGTACTCCAAATATTAATCTGGATGAAGAAATCTATTATTTCAGTATATTGGAATAGTTCCTAAATTGTTACATTTTGTTTTGAGCACTAAATAGTTGTATTTCTAAAGGGCTCATTAAACGAATAATTGTTCCTGAAAAAAGTGTTCACAGTCTTTTCTTTGCATCCCACAATACCTGATTCCCTGCAAGAAATAACTTTTTTTCCCCATGGAGGAAAACTACATGAGTTGCTGGGAGATCCCTGAATAGATCCTCCCAGCATTTAAAAAATGCTAATAAAAGCTCAGTTCAGATTGCAGGCACATGTGAAAGGTAAGAGGAGGTGTAACTCTTTGCCACATATGGCTTTGTACTTAACCAATGTGCCCTGCTTTTTGCTGTTAGTCCTCAAAGGTAAAAAGATGAGTATGGGGAGGCAGCAATTAAATCTTCTGTTCCTCTCGTGCACCTCATGGCCCTGATTTGAACCAGGCCCCTATATGAAGACTTTTAAAAACATGCTGGGAAGATCCAGTCTCAGATTTCCCAGTGTCTTAGTTGACAATTTGTGTGGGCCTCAGTAATTTCCTGATAGCTTGATGGAATATTCAAAAAATATTTTCTTAAGGATAGCCTTGTAATTAGAAGCCCCTACATTTGTAACAGGGGCCGCGGTGGCTCAGAGGTTAAGACACTAAGCTGCAGACCGGAAGGTCTGTAGTTTGGCAGTTCGAGACCCGAGTGTGCCACGTGACGGAGTGAGCTCCCATTTCTGTCCCCAGCTCCTGCCAACCTAGCAGTTCGAAAGCAAGAAATTGCAAGTAGATAAATAGGTACCGCTTCAGTGGGAAGGTAACAGCACTGGCTCTTGCTTGAAAATGGAGATGAGCACCACCCCCTAGAGTCGGATTTGACTGGCTTTTGAGCACAGGAAACCTTTACATTTGTAATTGTCCATTCACATTTCCTGATCTTTGCTTCCTTCACATTGGAAAGATAGGCTGGATTTGGGTGACCCACTTGTTATTAAAATTCAGTCCATCAGGTTTTAGTGTTCCGGTTTATCAAAAAAGCTGGGTTACAGTTTTGAGTCACAGGGCAGCATGAAAGAACCTTCTTCTATTTGATCTGCTTTTCTATATTCTTACATGTATTGGCCAGAGCTGAGTTTCAAGAGCTACACTGGGCATGCATACTCAGTAGTGTTTTGGACTCTTTTGTTTGAAATACAACCCTCCATGGCATGCCACGATCTGCTTTTGAAAATCCCATTTGTTTTAAGACTACTTAAAGAATATAAGAACACAAGAGGGGGACCCGCGATACTTGCGGGGGGGAGAAGAGCTCCGTCTCCTCCATCCCCCCCGCTCGATCTCCCCGAGGCGGCGGCGGCGAGGCCGGTCCTCTCCCCCCCTCCCGCCCGGCTCCGAGAAGGCGAAGGCGAGTCTGGTCCCCCCCCCGCCCGGCTCCGACCCTGCCGGGCTCCGCGG